AAATATTCAAACTAACTTATGCACACTTCGATTAATCTCTTCTCTGGTCTGATCAAAAATAAAGTTCTCATTACATCACCCTAAAAAGTTATCAAAATTTGACCATGAGACGAGCTGTCATTCCACTTGAACTATCCTTGGGATTGGAAGACAATTTAATACCCAACTTCCAAAACTCTTTTAGATCCACATTTTACAATTTTTTTTTCTGCTTTTGATATATATGGTGACAAAGGATCAAAGATGGGTTCAAATTAAGATTGTTAAAATTGTCATAGGTGACAAACATTAGAATAGAATCCTGATTCTCACCTTCAAAGTATTCGGTTCACTCGATAATTTTTTTTGGTTTCCCAAGTGTCCCCGGGCTTCGCCCATGACTAATCTCCCCAGGTACAGTCGTACGCGGAAGGGAGGACCTCTCCCAAGAAGGTGTGCGGCATCCACAAGGGTTCAAAACCAAAACCACTTGCTTAAGCGACCAGAGCCCCTTCCAGTCAGGCCAACCTTCGTTAGTGGTTCACTTGATAATTAGAGATTTTGAGGATGAAACAATCGAAGCTGGTTCCAGCTATGCTCAAAGTTGGTCAACCGTACGAGGCAATGAAGGATATGTTAATTTTAGAAAAAGTTTGGGCTTTGATGTGATTGTTTGTGTCTTTTGCAATAATACGAAAGCAAACCATTACAAATCAGTAAAGAGCTTAGCAACTACAACAACGTCATGGTGCATGTGTCTCAGTCTTCATTGTAAGTCTACAAGAAAAAAACAGATGCTACTCTGCAATAGCATTGATGTAGGAATGGATCAGAATATACCTCCGGTACAACCCCCACTAGGTAAAGCCATGGGTCTAACTAAGGGCTGCAACTCTTCAAGTCCACATGAAATTAGTTAGTGAATTATGATTGATTGTTTTAAAATATGAACTCAAAATTAATACGATATGTTGACACAAATAATAAATAAGTCGGGTTAATTTCAAACACGAGTTAACACGTTTTATTAATAGTGTATGAATAAAATGCCAAATTTTATTAAATTTTATTAGGTATTGACATAATCCTTATTCAATAAGCATTTTTTTTTTTGGCTTAATTTATGTGAGTCAGCACGAATATAACACAAAAATAAACATCTAGGGTTAGTGTGACATGCTTAGTTGAATGAGTGGGGTTAAGGTTAAAGGTGATAATTTTTGATACAACACGAAAACACAACTCAAAAATCGATATGAAATTATCTGGGTACGGTTAATCATTTCTCAATTCAATCTCATAAATGACACAATTCATTAACATGAATAATAAATAGGTCGGGTTGGTGTCAAACACAAATAACACGAAATTGATACGATTAACACGTTTAATTAGTATTTTAAGAATAAAATATAAATTATTTGTTTTTCAAATATTGACATAATTATTGTACAAAAAAATAGTTTTAGTCATTTTTTTGTTATGTTTATTAAGTTAATCTTTATTTTATAAAAAAAGTACGAGCATAGATTCAATTAAATGATAATAGAAAGTTAAACTTAAATCTCAGCGTTAAATTCTTTATTCATAAGTTATATAGGTTAATATAAATACAATATGAAAATAAACAAGTTAGATCAACACGATATGATTAATTAAATGAGTTGAGTTAGTGTTAATTAGTGTTCAACACAAACCCGTAACGATACTACACGAACACGATATTTATGGAATACTTAGGGCAGACGGGTTATCTACCAAGATTTGAAACATCACCTTAATTGCAGTAGCTTTATTTATGGAATACTTCCAATTCTTTTTTTTTTTTTCAAAACTTTAGAGATTGCTACCCTCTGCTAATTTTCTGGTCTAGGTTTGATAATAATTGCAATAATTGCAAGAGTGGTGAGCACCCGATTTGATTGTTAGGTGTGAAAAGACAAATTACAAGTTAATATTAGGCTTCCAGGGAAGCTAATGGTCATATTATTCCTACAATATTCTAGGAAATAAAATATATGTAGTTTTTTTTTTCTATTTTTCCTCGGTTGATTTCAAGTTTAATAGGGTTGAATCATCGCTCATGTGATTGATTAATTTTTAATAATAGGCGACGTGTACTAATACATGGGTGAGTAGCGCTTAGGAATTATTTTAGGTGGCATTATTATTTCAAAAATTGAATAACTCGATAACAATAAATCACTATTGGCTAACTAATAAACGAAACTTGAAATTAAGTTTTGCAGATCAATTTCCAAATTCAGGGAAAAACATACACTGCCCGACAAATATTTACTTGCACTTCTCCTTCTTTTATTATTAAATGGTCACAGGCTTGTTTACTGAAATAATTTTTATTTTTTTTTTGTCATTTAATATTATAATTAGAAGTATTCAGAGCATTTTATGCGTATTTCGACTGAGTTGGTCATCCATAGGTGTCAAATCTATGCAAATTGGTCTGGGCCAGGAAACTTTCAAGCATGAAAGAACAGAAAAAAGCCCAAAATCGAGTACATCAATTTTTTGGCCTTCGGGTGTGAACCCTATTGAAATCGAGTACATCATCAATTATTGCTATTCCTTGTCCTAAAATGCCAAGTCCAGCAAGACATTCCTATCTCAAAGCCTGCAACATAGACCATAAACCAGTCTAGTTCTATGAGAACTGCTCAATATAAGCGCACGATAACTCAAGCGACATTCTACTCTATCATTTATCGAGAGTTGGAATCATAACACTAAGAGGTCGTTTGATTGCCGTATAGTATAATAAAAGAAAGGATTGTATTAGCTAATAAGTGCTAGTTACGTATAAGCAGATAAAACATAAAATTAAATATGGGATAAAAATAATATTTATTGTAATCTAGTGTTTGGTAAGACACTGGATAAGAGTGAGATAATAGAATATTAATTATATATTGACCAAAAAATTATTAATCTATTTTAGTTATGCATGCTTTTGTTTAGTTGGCGGGAAAAATAATAAAATATAACTTAATGTAATTTTACTATATTATAATATCACGTCCTTATGTGGTATTAAAATTAGCTCAATAGTACGGGTAGAATGTATTATTGGTATATGGGTTTATACAAAAACAAAATACAATCACATATAATAAGGAGTATTTTTAGTAAAATGTATGATAAAGTTAGATTATAGAGTTTTAATTTATTATGACTTCTTAGTACATCCTTTAATACTGCAATCAAACGAATCCTAAGGTTGTCAATTCTTTCATCCAATAGTCTTATGGCCCAATGATATTTGGGCCAATCCGCATACAGTGGCCCGTTAGTCCTGCACAAAGATTGTCTTTTTTTTGGAGGGTAAATTATAATGAGGTACACTAAATTAGATTTATTTGTCAAAAAATACACACTAAAAAATGTAGGGCTATTAAATACTTAATTTTGATACTTATTTGTATCCAAGTACATAATTTGAATTTATTTATTTTNTGGGCCAATCCGCATACAGTGGCCCGTTAGTCCTGCACAAAGATTGTCTTTTTTTGGGAGGATAAATTATAAGGAGGTACACTAAATTAGATTTATTTGTCAAAAAATACACACTAAAAAATGTNTGGGCTTCATGGTTTATTTTAGGATAAATTATAAAGAGGTACTCCAAATTAGACTTATTTGACAAAAAATACACACTAAAAAATATAGGGCTATTAAGTACTTAATTTTGATACTTATTTGTATCCAAGTACATAATTTGAATTTATTTATTTTTATTGTGACATTTTTGTCCTCCATTAATCCATGTATATTTAATATACCACTTTTCTTTGAAAAGTGGTGCATTAAACATCTCCTAGTTTTATGGGAGAACTTTAATACATATATATATATACTTATGTATATACTTGTTGTTAAATCTCTTATCTAAATTTTGAATTATTTTTTAATGCACCTTGATTCATGCATTTTTTTTTAAAAAAAGTGGTATNTCTTATCTAAATTTTGAATTATTTTTTAATGCACCTTGATTCATGCATTTTTTTTATTAAAAAGTGGTATTATTTTCAAATTAATTTAATATCCGAATAGTGTAATAGTGTAACAATAACAGTATAACAATAATAGTGTAACAATCTATTTACACAAAATATTGTACTATTACATTTTATCAAACATATAGTTTTATATAATTTCATTCAAAATAGTCCATCTCCGTTTTGAATTTGTTACTATATACACAAAATTACTGAACACTATTTTTGTTACAGTGTATTTGTTACACTGTTATTATTATATTATTACATTATTCGGATATTAAATTAATTTGAAAATAAAATTATTTTTAAAAAAAAAATGCTTGAATTAAGGTGTATTAAATATAATTTGAAAATAAAATCATTTATCAAAAAAAAAATACACATGCATTAAAGATAATTTAAAATTTAAATAAGAGATTTAACAACAAATATATATTCATATATACGTGTATGTAAACAAGTATACTATATATATCCGTTTATATATACGTGTATACTTGTTTATATACATGTATAAACGAATATATATAGTATACTTATTTATATATATATATATATATATTTACATGTATTAACAAATACACATGAATCAAATGTGCATTAAATAAGTATTTGTATGTATTAACAATCACACCTGAATCAAGGTGTATTAAAAATAAGAAAACTTGAATTAAATGACCCTAAAATGAGTATTTATGTATTTTTAATTCATATTTTGTTCTATATACTTTTTACTAAATTAGTCTAATTAAATCTACTGGGAATCATTTTTTTTCCGGATNATTAAATGACCCTAAAATAGGTATTTATGTATTTTTAACTCACATTTTATTCTATATACTTTTTACTAAATTAGTCTAATTAAATGTACCGGGAATCATTTTTTTCCGGGTGGTAGTCTGGCCCAATAACTCAACGTTTACCTTGGCCCAAATCAGAAAAACTCCAGAACAGAAGGTGTTTCTTGTAAGCAATAAGCATTCGATTCCAAGAGTTTGGGTAATATCACGCCACGTGTCCCCCACTCTCTCTCTCGATACTCGTCGAACCGCCTTTATTCCTCCACACAAACTACCTTTATATCACCGCAAACCCTAAACCGAAACTTCAAAACAATTTAATTCTCAATTCAGCTCGAAACAATCAGCAAAAATGTTAGGGCAAAGCACGAGAAGACTTCTAGGTATGGGCTTTCTCGGACAGTCCCGATCACAGGCCATACAGGTCTTGCCGCGATTTTATCACGAGAGGGTCGTGGACCACTACAACAACCCGCGCAACGTCGGATCATTTGACAAGAATGATCCGACGGTCGGAACTGGGCTCGTCGGTGCGCCGGCGTGTGGCGATGTCATGAAGCTTCAGATCAAGGTCGACGACAAGACTGGGAAGATTGTTGATGCTTGTTTCAAGACCTTCGGTTGTGGCTCTGCCATCGCTTCTTCTTCTGTAGGTTAGTCTCTCGAAACTCATACGGAACGTCTAGAACCTATACATACATATGTGTATTTATAAGTGCATATCTATTCTGTATTTACCTGTGGGAATGATTAGTAGTTTGAGAAATCCGTTAATGTGATGAATTTATAGGGATTTTTGGGAGTATTTTCTCAACGGGGCTAATTCCGTTTTCTGCTACGGGAAAATTTGCCGGGAAATGTTTATGTTGAAACTAAATCTTAGTGTTTAGTGTTGTGGGTTAGGCCGCTTGGAATGATTGAATGGATTTTTTTTTAATTTGTTTGGGATTTTTCAATCGTTTGATTGGGTTATCAGTTTTTTATTGTTTATTGTGCGAGAATTTGTTTATATGAGCAAAATTTTGTTACTTGGAAAGAGTATTGGCTTAGTTTATGACACAGTAATTGATTATCATTTTGTTTCTCCAGAGGTTTTCTTCCCCATATCAATGTTTTTTTTTTTTTGTGTGTGTGTGTGTGATGGTGTAAAAAACCAAGGAGTACGTTAAAGAATGAACTTCTAGATGGATGTTGTAGGTGATGGATTAAGAACTGAATACCGAAAATGCAAAGATTAGATTGGTTCGTCCTGCTAAAGAGCAAGAATGAGGTTGGGCTGTGTTATTGCTCAAGGGGGTGTGAATACACAATAGGGTTTCATAGGGCAGTATATATGCTTACCCCTTGTGACACTATTCCATTCCTTATGTAATGGATTTTAGGGAATATTTTGGGGATCTTGGCTGTTAAGAGACTTCGGGCCCAAGGAATGGTGCGAATGTCTGGATGGTGTAGCTTATTGCTCAAGTTAGGGTTTCCTTCAAAGGTTCCCCCTTGTCCATTTAGGTAATTTTCGTACTAAAGATCGAATCGTGTTGGTGTAGTGAATCTGGATACATGTCCTTCTCATGGGCCCAGGTCAGCTTGTTCCTGTTTCTATGGACGGGTGTTTTGGTCAAGTCAGCAGGATTGACCTGCCTATTTATCTAGTATCATTGTGTTTTGGTTTGGGGTGGGGTTTTTTTTTTGT